TTTTCAGTCGAAGTCTGCTCTCTTCTCAATGTTACAGACTGCAGCTTTAAGCTGAAAGACCATATTTGAGACGTCAATTCAGAGATTTTAAGTGGGTGTGATGCCAGTGCATTTCTACAATAAAAAAAAAGACATAAAATAAACGATTTACCATTGAGTGGTTTGCGAGAAAACATACACTGTAACGTTACTTAGGTGTGATTCAGCAATATTGTTCTGCGATTTTGAAAAACACCAATACAGCCAGCCAAAGCAACAGCAGCAACAGCAACGGAGGGCACCTGAGTTCACCTCTGACCTGGAACTTAAAGTGTGCTGTCTGTTTGATCCGCCAAAATAAGATATGGGTTGATTATTTTGTGCAGGTTACAAATGTTATTGTCATGATTAACTAAAGATAAGACCCAAACGTAGGCAAACAAATTCAGAGAGACCAGGGGAAAAGGTTTAACAGGTTTTATTGAAGAGATAAAGCACGGTGCAGAGTTGCTGTGAACTCTGCTCAGCCAGACCTGGAAGGTGAAGTGAAGACACAATGATTAGTTCAGGCTCAGTGGGAAATTTCATTCGTGGATTTGGAGAAGAGGATCTGGTGTTGACTCACGTTTCCAGAGAAGTAGTAGAATCCTTGACTCCAATCTGTGTTCTGTTTTCCAGTGTTAGCCTGATTCGGTGGAGGGCGGAACAGGGTTACCCAGAACACAGTCAGTTGTAAGTGAACGGAGAAACTGATTGCCACTCAGATTTCCTGCGTCGTAGTGGAGATGATTCCCTTGCTCAGAGTGTAAACTCAACTTCCTCTCAGGGAAACTGGATCCAAACCTCCAGTTTGAATCCGCAGCTCAGCTTGAGGCTCAGTTGATCCCTCCAGGGAGTGAGGGTCCAAACGATCCAGTTTGCAGGATGACTTCCTGCCGAGAGGCAAAGAGAAAAAACAAAGTTAAAACTCAGGTTCACAAGAACTCAGTCTTACTCAGCAAAAACTTGGCTAGAGTACCCAAAACTGGCAAACAAAAACTCAGGTTAGACTATGCTAAACTAAGCATGGCTAGAGTACCCAGTATTGGCAAACACTCTGGCGTTGAGGTAGTGGCAATCAGCAGCTTAAGAGCACTCCGTTAACGAGGAAACCATCAGCAGGTGTGTGAGGAGGTGGACCAGAACCAGGCGCCTCCTGCTGGTGGAAGGGAGACAAACACAAAAAAACAAACACACAGACTGGAGCCCTGACAGTTATGGGAGTTACGAACAGCTATAACCACTATATTAGTTATGAATAACAATAACGTTACAGCAAATACACTGCCTGGCCACCTGGATTCAACTAAGCAAATAGGTACGAGCCTCCTATTGGATAATTACTGCATGGGCGAATATCTTTCAGCTGGCAACAAGTCATTTAACCCCAACTGGTGCAATGACTTGCTTCTCATTTCCTAAACAACCATGTCGAAAGACACATCCCGTGGTCGTGGAAAAGATGTTAGTCTGTTTGAGAAGGGTCAAATCATTGGCATGCATCAAGCAGAGAAAACGAAAAGAGATTGCAGAAACTACTAAAA